CCCAGCTTCCCATCTCGCTCTTGTCGCTCTCGCACAATTCGCTGCTACCAACAGTGCCGCCTGCGGGGCCGCCGAGGGTTGCCCGGCGCTTCGGTCCCTCAGGCTGGGGAGACGCCTGCCGCCTGCGGGACCGGCCCGCGCTCCCCTGGCCTCACAGGAGGGTGTGAGAGCGGCGAGTCTCCTCAAAACCCATCTTCATCTGCTCTTGATACTTCAGAATGATAGCCCAGTTCTTAATAACGCTCTCGAAACTTGTCCCTTGGCATAGAAGCTCCACAAGCTCCATCTCTGGGAACTGCCTTCCTTTCCTTAGCTCCAACAGGCTTACAGAAACTCGCTGCTTAAGACTCATGTCAACGTACAGAATATCATCTCTGTAATATTTCCATGACCTTTTATTTTTATAAGCTTATTTGATAAATAATTTCAAAATTTGCTTTTTAAGTTTCATTCCCATGTAAAAATTGTGTGCAAACAATGTACAGTGTTTATTAGTAAATGCTTACTAAAGCATCGCACATTAATTTGTGTCCTCCAGGGCACCCTAGCTTTGTTTTATGTAAAATTAAAAGGCTTTAAAAAATACTCCATAAAAGAGTATGCAGCTAATAGATTTCTAGATGTTTTAATGAAGTTTAAAAGTACATCCAGGCATTTGTGAAGGAAGTAAATCTTTAGTGCTTTGGTTCAATAGCCGTCTGTGAATGAACAGGGGTGAGGAAGGAACTTTTCCGGTGGGCAGGTTATTCCACGAGATCTTCCTCTTCCTCTGGCTCTTTTGTGACCCAGCAGATAGTGGCTGCTGCCTGAACAAGGCCCTGAACCAGCTGATCTAATAGAAATACAGGAATTGTCTGTATTTTGTGTGTGTGTGTGTTTTTTTTTTTTCAAATTTTAGTATATTAACTGAAAAATGGCTTACACATAAGCAGCTGTATATTTTTAAAACACTCAACTAGCATGACATTTAAAGAGCAGTTTATCTTGCCCACCAATACACCCTTCTGCACAACAGATCAGTAGTATTTTGCCCATCTTGCAGCTCATAAAATCAAGGCATAGAAAACTGGAAGTAACTCCTCCAGGGTCAGGCAGTGGAAATAAAGCACAGCCTGCCCCAAACCTGTCCCTGCTGTGTGCCCCTCCTCACCTTCATCCCACCTATGCCCTGCAGCACAGCACGAAAGCAGAAGCTCCTCTGCAGTGTTCCCTTGTTAGAAGGACAATGTGTTATCTCCTTGCAGTTCTTCAAATTGTAGATAAACAGCCTGAAATAAACCTCAGAATGATACAAACTGGGGATAGGAGGGGGCAATAAGATAATCCTCTATCTGGCGCTATGTTTTGTTTTCTGTATCTCCTGCAAGAACTTCTAGTGTTCTCTGCCTTGAAGTCCACCATTTTCCTCTAGCAAAACATGTGGAATGTCTGTTCCTTATAAAATACAGATGATGCTTCTGATATTATTGAGATACACAAAACAGGCTAACATCTATAATTTTGTTTTCCCAAGCAATGAGCTCTTTATAATTACGCCCTTCCAAAGATCTGTAAGGCCTTACATTTTGTGCCACAGGTTAAAGACGTTTCTGTAGGACACTCGAATATCACCACTTTTTCAAGACTGCCAAGACAAGTTCTCCAAAACTGTGGAGTGTTGCTGCAAGTTTATTTTGCTCTTTGGTCATACGCTATTGAGGGCTCCTTAACTGTAACTGCCATATAGTTCTTGCAGAATCTATACATCCTATACATGGCATGAACAGTCTTGAATATGGAGCAGAAATGTTACATAATAACTCAGTCAATGTGGAATATTATGTGCTATATAAACTTTGCATGTGTTCCAAGTCAAAACTCTCATGTTTCTCTAGCAGCACTAAACTCTCAGGAGGACAGGCTCTAAATCTACAATCAGTTCCTTCTAACTCACCCCCCACGGTGTTCACAAGAGATCGTTATTGCTCAGATAATGCACTAATACAAAAAAGGCACTTGCAAATCAGTTGAGAGTCTTTTTCTTCTGGGTGCTTCCTAGTTTTCAGGTAATTCCTTATCTTCAGAAAACAGCACCAGTTTACTGAAGTTGCACTTACATCAACACATTTCACTGGCTCTGGTCACAGTTGGTAAACAAAGCGAAACATTAAGTTATTGTCTGTCATCATCTAAAAGTATGAAACAGAGGAATTTGCTTTCATAGCAGCATGGCCTGGCCCACTCACCTGTCTTCTCTGCCCACCTCTTACGTGTATCCTTCAGAAATCTTGCCCATACTACTAACCTGAAGGTGTCTACAGCAACAAAAAGTAGATACAATCACTAAAAATATTAATATATTTAATGCATACAGCTTACACAGTTCAACTTGGTGTAGGCCTAAAAAAAGAAAGTAACAATTCTCAGTTTACAAGTTGGTAAAGGCCTGAGTGATCTGATGAAATCTGATATACGTGACGATGCTCCAGGCGAAACTCATGTCTTCTCAATTCCTAAAAAGCCAATGCCTCCAGTTCCTGGCTTTCCAGCAGCTGCAGATTCCAAAGAACCTATTCTCTCCTGCAAAGAATCTTGGTTTTTGAGGGGTTCGTTTCATTTTGGAATATAGAACAAATTTAGCTAAATTAAAATTCCCTCTCTCTGAGCTATGGCTCCAGATTCTCTTCACATCTAAAGGCCTGGCCTCTGGTGCCTCTACCCAGTGGTGCATATGCTCACCATTCCCATCTGCACAGCCAACGGGGCAGGGAGCATTCCCTCCTCTGGAGCTTGGCGTGTGCTACTGCTGACAGCCACATTTCAGGCGTACACAAAGCTCACGAGGGAGAGGTGGCTGGGAGCCTTTTCTCTTTTTTTTTAACTATGTCTTCTGAAAGGCATAGACAACAGCCTGGTGTTCTAAAGGTGATATTATGATTAGTCTTCTATTTGCTCTGGAAAATAATCCAGCGGCGTAAGAATGCATGCTCTTGTGCAATTTCTAGACTCCAAAGACTTAAATCAAATTTAAACTCTGATTGTTTTTTTCATGGTGTATCTGTGCCTAAGACTACACTTTTTGTTTGACAAAAGTCCCATCCCTGATAGAATTAAGTAGTCTCCTCACTGAACCCTGCTCCTGTTTGTTTCCTCCCTGCCACTTGAGAAAATGTATGTGGGTTCCTGCAGCAGTGCAGGTCACTCCACTTTACTGCACCAGGAAAAAAGTATGGATAGGTAGGTGGTGTGGAAACTGTCTACTTGAACACTGGTGCTTTCAGACTGTATGCGCAGGCCTGGCACTGATAAACAGCCTAAACTGCTGTGGATTTGTCCAGATGATGGTTCCGGGCAGTAAGTATTTGAAATGGCAGACAGGAACCACTGATTTAGTGGGATATGGTACCCCAAATTTCCACATTTCTAATGAAACTGTGCTTAAAAGGAAGAACATTCTGCCTGGTGGCAGTTATCAGAGCTGCCTTTAGTTGTCAGCTGCCAGCGGTTCTGTGCTTCATCCATCCATGCAGAAGAAACCCATGGGAAGTGTAGCTGGTGGGGACTGCCAGAGAGCTTCCAGGTATGTCAAGAAGGGCTGCCAGAGGGTTTGTCCATTAGCGTGAAATAAAGGTGTAAGCTTACCAGCTGAAATCCTTGAATGACTTCCAGGTACCACACTAAGCTTCAAAGTACGCGCATCATTTCCTGGTTTTGCCACCGTTTTCCTGTGTATTCTTCAGCAAATCATCTTTTAATTTTTTTTTTCATTTGCCTTATTGAACTGTAAAAGAAGATGAATAATCTTCCTTTTGTTCATGTTGAAGCAATAATTTTTGTCAGGGAGCATCTGCTATGGCACATACAGCACATGTGTGTTTGCACTTGAGGCTGATGTGATGTCCTGGACTCCACACACACAGTGAAGTTCAAAGAACAAGGTGGACACTGCCAAAAACTCAACAATAAAGAGATGATGTCTCTGTCTAGGGATCCTATCTGTACTTGTGCCAAAGGGGAATTATGTTTAAGAAGTACTGCAAACATCATGTGTTCTGTGAAACAGAATTGGTGACTCTCGGGTGGACAACACTTGGATGACACTCTTGCCTCACAGCAGTAGCATTTCGTTATTCAAAAGGACTTTGGACTCGTTGTAGTTAGGTTACTCTGAGGCTCTTCCATAGCCTCAGACAGACTTAACAGAGAAAATCAGTCTAAATGTTTCTTTTCCCATCATGTTAACTATACTTTGGCATACTCCCTTCTCTCTTGTGAATGATACAGACCTGGAGGTGAGCATAGATGTGAAAGTTTAGTATTTATGTAAGCTGGGGACATTTGTTTGTTTGTATGTGTGTTAAAATAAACCAAAGAAAATAAAACAACTCTTGGGTGCAAAATATACAGTGAAGGCATGGTCTTCTGATTCTGGGTTTACATTTTAACTTACTAAGAGGGCTTTCTACAGTTTGAATAAGCCTGCTGTAAACTATTACTAGTATATTTTTTTTCCTGCCCTTGAAGATGGGGCAGGTGTAACCTGGAGACAAATTGTTCAACTAAATAAAAAAGAAGCTATATCCAGTAGTTGGAATAATATGCTGGGAAAGGACTGGAAACATTCAGGTTCTGAGCTCTGACATGGGCAAGTTTGTTCTGCCTCTCCAGGCTTAACTTTCTTATTAACAAAATAGACCCACAGATCCTTTTCTTGAGTGTGTGGACCGAAACTCAGCCAGAAACTGCAGTATCTGGGCACAGATTCATCCTTTACATATGCAAAAGGTGGGCAGCATGTTGGAGACTCCTGATGTTACTGTTATACTACTATTAAAGACTGAATTTTCTTCTTCTCATTCATGTAGCTTTAAGGTGAATAACTCAGATAAGTTCAGTATATTACCTGGTTTGAAGTGGGTAAATGAAAAGCAAAGTTTGTCAATCCACTTATTTAGCAATAGGTGACTTAACTAACACTTTGGGTGTAAGTATTTATCCATGTTTTTCTTGCTCTCTCACAGAATTCGTAGCGCAGAGGCCTGTGTACTGCTTCAACCTGACATCAATGCAGGATTCGGAGATGATTCTTGCTGCCACGTTCCACTTCTACGTGGACAAACGCCCGCGGCACCGGGAAGTGTTTTGTAAGCGGTCCAAGAACTCGTCCTGCCGCCTCCTTCACCTGCCCCAGGTTCTGCGGCTCAACATCATTTTCCGAAGTGTTCCCCAGAACTCTGCCTATGGACTAGTCAAAGGGAACATCACTGTGTTTCTCCAAAGACGAGGGGCTTGGCATGCAAAGGACATTTCACACCTTATAAAAGAATCAAAACAGGCTGGAGAGCTCATTCTCTGTGCTGAGCTTGATTCTGGTGAGAAACACCAGGGTTTCCCTGAAGAGGTTGCCACTCACTTGCCTTATATACTGGTTTATGCCAATGATCTTGCAATCTCCGAACCAAACAGTGTAGCAGTCACCCTACAGCGGTATGATCCATTTCCTTCCAATGATGGAGACCCAAATCTATCCCCAAATGCTTCTAATGATACTCGGGTGAAGAGGGACACATACCTCAGTAGCTCTATTCAGAATAACGAGTTGCCAGAAGTAGAATACAGCAACAAATACAATAAACATGATATATGGGAGAATGCCTACAAGTCCTTAAAACCAAAAGCCTCACGCAAAGATCGAAGGAGAAAAGGGCAAGAAAACACAGAAAAAATCTCAAAATCTCAGGTGCTAAATTTTGATGAGAAAACAATGAAGAAAGCAAGGCGAAAACAATGGAATGAACCAAGGATTTGTTCAAGAAGATACATGAAAGTTGACTTCGCTGATATTGGCTGGAATGAATGGATCATATCTCCAAAATCATTCGATGCCTACTACTGTGCAGGGGCATGTGAATTTCCAATGCCTAAGGTACTAAGTCTTCTCACTGTTGTTAACCTGCAAGCATAGTCCAACAGATCTACTTTCAGCGATTCAGCTACTTCACTTGTTAGATTTTACCTTGCTTTTGCTCAGCTTAGTAATTTGAGTGATAGCTTTTCTGCCAGCTAATGCATCAGAGTGCAGAAAAGATTTCAAGTTTTCCCATAAGTGGAGTCTGAAAGAGAGAGATTTTGAATGTTTATGCCTTCTTATGAGCACAACAGTATCACACAGGAAGGCTGAAAGAACAAAAAGAGCGTGTTTTTTTTTTGTTTTGCTTTGTTTTTAATATAGAATAGTAAGAAACAAACTATATTGAAGACTGAAGCAACACTTTAGGTAAGAAATTAAATTAGATTTCCTGATAAATCAAAAACTCTTGAAAAATACTGCCCCCTGTCAATGCAGCACCTTCTGTTTGTCACCGTAAGGAAAAGATAGCTGAACCCTACAATTCTGAGGATGGATTTTACTTCTAATTTTGCTACTATTTGCTTTATAGACAGATTAATATACCAGCACTAACAGCTTGGAGCCAAAAATCCAGAGAGTTTTATAGCCAAATCACAGTTACAGGTACACAGATCTGTGGATTTTTGCTTTGTCTGTCTAGTTGGGTTTGCTTTGGAAAAGGTTTACTTTTTGTTAGTTTATGACTTCTAAGAGAACATAGGCTTAAAATATACAGATTCACAATTGTAACTTTAAAAAAAGGTCTGTCTTCAATTGAATAATGCCTAGGGTATCAGCAGCAGAGCATAAATATAATCTCGGCAGTTGTAAAAAAAAACGTTGTTCTAGGTGTAAATTTACTAATGTGCACTTAAGTAGAAGTAGATGGCGATGGGCACAAGGGAGAGGATGTGCTAGATGTACTTAATGATCCTCTGCCTTCGTTATCACCTCATGGTATGGCTAATGTTTCTCTACCATGTAATACTGTCACCTGGCAATGCAGCCCCTTCTGTTGCCACCATAAGGAAAAGAGAGCTGAGCCCTTCTGAGAATTCTGAACTGGGATTTTGATCACATATGTGGCTGCTAGGAGGCAGCTCCAGCAACCAGCCAGGGTAAGGTTTGTTTATGCACAACATTTAAAATGAATTGCTAATGAAGACAATCGAAATTATTTGGGCTTAGCTAACAGATCTCTTAAATAGCTTTTGACTTATTCTTGGGAACACGTGGGCAACAGCAGCCCAGGGTTTGCCATGTGAAATTATCTTTACTCCTGATTATGAGAATGGGCTCCAAGGCTTTCATGCTTCTAACTCTTCTATAAACTCATCATCTTTAAGGAAGGTCTGTTTAGCAAATACTATCTTGAGCCATCAGTCTCTTCCCGATGTGAGGACACATTGCTGAAAGCAGCTCTCGGACCATGCCTCAAGATAACATCAGCCTAAGATTACTGCCGCATTCGTCTGAATGGTATTTGACTGACTTCTGTTGCTAGGTCAGGATTCTGGTTCAGTGTCCATGAGTATTGCTGGGAAACTGGGATTCTGAAAAAATGTTCTTCTCCTGACCTACAGCAATAGGAATACTCTTGATTTTGTCCTTTAAGAGTCCCAGTTCATGAGTTTCATTCTGAGTGCAGAGTTCAAAACTGAAAACAAAACTTTCCTGAAGCTAGTAAGTGTTGCTTATTAAGATGTAGGGGAGAATGTGTTTTTTTTTTTTTTTTTTCCTCAAGGTTTTAAAAGGAAAGGGGGAAAAAAGAAGGGAAGGAGCTATGGGCTATGGTATTTCAAACCTGCTGTTCAGCTGGTTTTCAATTTCATCCCCATCCTTCTGTTTTCTGAGGCCAAATCTGTTGCTGAACTAGGACTGTTCTGAAGGTTAGATAAGAGCAGAACCTGCCCTGCTGTATATACCTTCATAGCCAACATTTAAGACAACTGTCCTAGCACCATGACTACTGGGCATTCAACTCGTTCTTGCAGACTTTCCACAATAACACACTGGTACAGAGGCTAGTTTGAAGCTCAGCCCAAGAATCACTGCACACTTAGGCTCATTTTCCAGAAGACCCAGAAACTTCTGACTAGGTGAGGGACAGATGCATTAGAAATGTAATTAGTGTTATCTCTTTGTAGCCTGATTTATTCAGACTGGATTATTTTGGACAGGTTTGACAGTTTCCAATACTACACCTGTCTCACATCTTACTTGCTCTTTGCAGCCTCTCTGGCTGTAGAGCTAGAGAGCCTCTTACTGGGATCTTTGCAGGTGCATCCGCAAGATTCCCAAAGGCCAGTAACTAGGACTAAAGGCTGTGTTTGCTATCCCTTGCCTGGGGTCAGCAAGTTCCCTTTGAGTAGATTACCCAGATCTATGGATGTTTAAAAAAAAAAAATCAAATAATAAGGAGCGAGGAAGATTTTAGGATTTTTTTTCGTAACAGTTAAAACAAGAGCTAGATTCTAGAAGTGCCACTTACTTAAATTCCCAAAGTCTGCAACTGCTCATACACCTGCAAATTACTTTTGTCTCCCTCTCGCTTTCCCAGTTTTCTGACATGGGCAATGTGGATAGGAGGCTATTTCTCCTTCATGTTAACAGCTTTGAAATCTAAAGAAGAATAGAGGCATAATGCAGGACAATGCTGCTAATTATGCCAAGACACTTTAAATACAAAAAGGCTCTTTCCAGGAGAGGTCCCCTCTTGGGAGCTCGACATAGGGATGATCTCTTGAAGCCCAAGAGAATCAAGACTGTATTTCGCAGTTTTAGCCTGTGATGGTTGAAATGAGCACTCTCTAGTTCAGAAACTTCTCAAAATTTCAGCAGTGAGGTTTGATTCATATCTTCTGGTATGATCTTACTCTTAAGTATATCAAAATTGAATTATCCTTAAAAAATCTCATTTATGAAACCCAAGCATTATGTAACTTTATCTGTTGAAATGAAAAGTCAAGTTTTTTTCCTAAATGCAATCTTCATAATTGGAGAGATGCTATTACTCTCACTTGCTGAGACAGTTTTCAAGCAAGATGCTGCAGTGGAGGGTGGCAGGCAGGGCTCCTGTGCCAGGTGACTGGGGCACACGCGCTCCCTGCTGTGCTCTGCAAGGGCAGACCCTGTCACCTCCTCTCCTTTCCCAGGGAAGCTCTGTTTGATGGTAGCTCAAGCAATAGCATTGCAGAAACCTCCCTAGTGCTGCTCAGCTGCTCAGACTAGAAGGGTCGAGTATAGCTTGTGAATAAATGCTAAAAATATGACTTACATCTAACTATTAAATACCATACACTATTTATACAATCTAAACACTGTTTTTTTTTCTCAGTGTTTTTATACCTAATAGCCTCCATTTTGCGTTATTCTCAAATATTTTTCCCTGTGTAGCTCTATTGCATACAAATATCACCTGAATAACTTTGCCTAGTGCTCTCCAGAGCACTCCGCAGCTAAACTATAGTGAGTTCTGACTTTGTGCAACTGCTGTCCTCCCAGCTTTTATTATTTTCCCTTTACAAGGCTAGTTAGAACTCGAAGAAAAGCCTGGTGAGGAAGGCAGAGGGAAGCAGAGAGCCTGCACGTTTGTCATGATCAGAACAGGTCTGTGACGTTGATAGACCATTTTGGAGTAACTCCTCCCCGTGGACACTGTTCCTGAAGCACTTCTACATTAGAATTATTCTTTTAATACCAAGCAATTACTCTAGGGACAATAAACTAGTTGCAGGTTAGTGAGAATGAAATTTACTCCTGGACTATAGGAATAGTTATTTTGGAAAGAATTACAATAAACATATTTCCCACTCAAACTGTATGACAAAGAAGCAGTCACCTCAGCCCTTTTTGCCTCTAGCATTTAGTAACTGCGGTCAGGGACTCTCTCCTTCTTTTTAGGCTCCTGAATGCTGGCTGTGCCACCAGTGCCCTCCTCTGGTATTTGCAAAGGCAGCATAAGGACAGGGGCCTCCTGGGCAGGAGAGCTGGGAATGTGAGGGACTGACTGAGCTGAGCAGCCCTGTGACTCACTCACATATATTCACTTTTGGGGGAACAAAAAACTGTAATTTTCCATGCCCATGTCTGAAATTGACTTCTCGTGAATGAAGCAATAACTGTTTCCTTCTATGTTGCAGATCGTCCGGCCATCAAACCATGCTACGATCCAGAGCATCGTAAAAGCAGTGGGCATCATTCCCGGCATTCCAGAGCCCTGCTGTGTTCCTGACAAAATGAGCTCGCTCAGCGTGCTTTTCTTAGACGAGAACAAAAACGTGGTTTTAAAAGTATATCCCAACATGTCGGTTGAAACCTGCGCGTGCCGATAAGTTCACAGAAATGCATCTCTAACAAGACCTAAGTATCCTGCCCAACTACACTGAGAAAGCCGGGAATGGGAAAGGAATCCGCTGCTGCTGCTGGACAAACACAAACCGACAGCTCCTACAGCTGGCGCGCAGAGGGATGGAAGCAGCTCACGGGGAAGGATGCGTTTGGATGCCGGCATCTGCCTCACAAGCTAACACTGATTCACCTTCCAGGACATCAACACTCTGCAATTTCTTCTTAACCCATCTTGCCAAGAAACATGGTATTTAGTGCAGAAATCTAACTGTAAGGTTTTCCATAATCAAAGGACTAAAATATGTTTTATATGCTATTTTTCTGTTTTCTCTCTTCAGTTAACCAAGAAGATGGGAAGTGAATTCGCAAAGCAAGCTCATTCTAGAATATCATTTGGTACACAATCAGAACTTTTTGCCTAGAACACTCATACTCTTAATCCACATATTTATACTGAAAATGCTGTAATAAAGGGCTTAATATGTATATATTCTTCAGGATGCAAGTGTAGTGCACTGTATAAGCTTTTATATATACAGTATGTTAATATAACCATTTTTGGTTACCCCTCCCTAAAATAATTTGTTCTACAAAAGGCATATGTAATACCCCCACTCCTGGTTTGCTGGATAATTTCAGGTTGTTAAACATATATTCTCTGAATATCATACTATATAGTAATATGTTGAAATACTAAACATAAAATAACCAAGATTTATATTTTTGTAAATTATACTTTATCCCCTAGTTTGTTACATGCTTTTAACAAAAGCTAATAAATTAAAGGTACAGTAGTATCTAAATATAGTTGAAATGTCTTCCTACTATTCACTTGGTTACTTTCTGCTAATTAGATGGAAACATGTAGATGCACGTTAAGCTCGTCATAATGTGCATCAACAGATTAAAGCCAGAAGGGAATATTAAGCTCATCTAGACTGACCTCCCACACAGCACAGATCAAAGAGCCTTGCCCAGTAGTTTCTGTGTCATGGCTAAAACTTCTGTTTTGAGCTTGGAATTATCTTTGAAAAAAATGCATAAATTTGTCTTTACAGATTTCAAGTGGCAGATTATCTCTACTGGACTACAATCAGGCATTCTCAGAGTTAGTTATCTTTGTTAAAATGTTGTGGCTTATTTCTAGTCTGAATTTGTTGAGCTTTGGCTTCAATTCACTTAATCTTACTCTAACCTTTCTCTATTAATCCCTTTTGTCTAACTTATAAAATATTTTCCCTGTATATTTTTAGTATATAGCAGCAGGCTGAAATTACATCTTGGCTAAGAATCAATAGATACTTTGATTTCTTACTATTCCAAGCCCCAAAACAATTTCTCATGGCTCTTTTCCGAACTTCTTCCAGAAATTTCAATAACTAATTTTTCCCCCAGCAACAAAGAACAGACAAACAGGACATGGTATTTGGCAGTAGTTCCTCTGTAAGTCTTTACAGAAATAAATCTGCTTCCCTCCATCTAATGTATAATCCAATCTTGATGCAACCACAATAGTCCTCTTAACTGGAGCTCTCTAAGAGCTCATGTCCCCTTGCTGTGACTGTCACTTTTCCCTCCCAGGGCGGCTGCACACCAGGACACACTGACCGTGCGCTAGTCCCTTGTCATTCAAGGCACAGGTGGGAGCAGAACAACCTGCACAGGAGATGGCATGGAGTGCAAGACACGGAGAGTTTACCCTTAAAGGAACAGTCAAAGCCAAGATTCAGTGTGCACACAGGTATCTGTACAGACAGTTATGGATCCAGGCAGGCATTTCTGCTTTTGTTAGTGATTTACAAAGGAACTGCTGGGACAGACCTTCATGTACTGCTGTAACTAAAGATCTCTCTGGGAGGATTTTGTGCTCTTCGCATAGTGACAAACGCAACTGAGGTTGAAAGAAGTAATACTAATTGCATATAAAAGTTCAAAAGCCCTCAGAAAGTCATCATTTATTCCTAAGTACACCCTGAAGTATAAAATCATTTCTAAATCTTAAACCATCATCATTTCTGTCCTCTATGAAGGAGAAGTCTAGTTTTACTCCCATTTAAAATCAGCTCTGAATGAAATGGCTACTAGGTTAGTGTAACAGCCTGCTCTACTGCATTTTGTTTTCTTTAGAGAATCTTTCAAATCCTGAGTACTCCTCAAGTGGAGAGCTGCTTTCCCAGATGTGCTCAGGCAAGCAGTTAGGAAAGAGAGACACCAGCCCTTGATCTGTTATTAAGCCTGCAGGATGTACATGAAACTGCCACTCCTACACCCAACAGGGAACCTTTAAAATCTCTGAAAGTTTAGTCTGCATGTAAAGAGTACTGTTGACAGAACTCTGTCATTTAGCATTAGAAAAAAACAAAATTATATCCACAAGTGGCATAGCCTTCCTGGCTTC